GGTATGTGGGCCTCTCAATGTTGTGGCCTCTCCCGTTGCGAAGCACAGGATCCGGAGGCGCAGGCTCAAGCGGTCATGGCTCACGGGCCCGGCAGCTCCGCGGCATGTGGGATCTTCCTGGACTGGGGCACGAACCCATGTCCCCTGCATCGGCAGGTGGACTCTCAACCACTGTGCCACCAAGGAAGCCCTATAATAAATTTTTGAGTGAACAAAATGTCTATTCACATCACTGAAAAATGGTTCAAATCAGTACTCAGCTTACCTGACTGGTAGGTGATGCAGCTGATTGTTAAACACACTTTAATTCATATGTACAAATTAGTATTGTCTTTTACAGTATAGGCCCCTTGGAAGTTAACATACTTTTTCAAACAATGCTGCCATTACTCAAGGGATTCTTAGGACTCCTCTTTTGAAATTGCCTTTCAGAGCTAGTTCTTGAGAAAGACATGACAATTAGTAAGAGCCTAGTCTGCCCACTTTTGGCCTAGCCTGACCCACCTGCTTTTGATCTGGAGGATTTAATACTATTTTCAAAAATTAAACCCTCTCTCAAAGAACAGACTTGTTACTAATGTTGTTAAGTATGTGCCACAACTTCCAATTAAACTTGGGGCAACATGACATCTTAGTCTACTTCTGCTACTTTGAATTTGGAATAAGATGACAAATATGGTGTATAATGGTAATAACTTAAGACTTTGGTCCTGGGAGGGAGGGAGGGAGGGAGACGCGAGGGGGAAGGGATATGGGAACATATGTGTGTGTGTGACTGATTCACTTTGTTATGAAGCAGAAACTAGCTCACCATTGTAAAGCAATTATATTCCAATAAAGATGTAAAAAAAAAAGACTTTGGTCCTTGTTGCCTTCCTATGAAGAGAGGAGAATCGTCACTGAGCGGCCCCCCACCCGCCACAAGCATCAGTAGGCTATTTGTTTTCATATCTCAGGGTTATTTCCAGCTAAGACAAATGCATAAGCACAAAATGGGCCCCCGTAGCCTCTGACCTCTAGGACATGAACCAAGACATATTTTACTATCACCCTCCCACCTCTCTAAAGAATCCATAAAATGCATTATGGTAAAATAGGAAACTTCTCAAGGGCTAGTGAGTTGTGGAGAAGAGCACGGGCAGATGCAGTTGCTGTTCCCTGCCTCAAGTGGAAAGTAATAATAAAAAGCTTAACGAACACTTGCATGGCGGGGTGTGTTTGGCTCTGTTTATTCTTTCAATCTTCACAACTCTGTGAGGTAGGCACTCTTATCCCTCCCATTTTACAAATGAGAAAACTAGAGGCTCACAGAGGTTGATTATCTAGACAAGGCCACTCAGCTAGTAAACGACAGTCCAGGGTTCAAACCCCGCAATCTGACTCGCGTTAGTGCTTTCACGAAAAAACGGGTATCTGGCAATGTTTAAAACGTCAGAACTGGCAACTGGGGAACTAATGGAAAAGGGAATCAACAAAACGGCCCACCACGTGGCAACAGTGCTGAAAGACCAAGGGAGCCTCAAGTCCCAGGAAGGGGCAAGTGAGGGGTCAGCTACTCGCCACCACAGCTCCAACAGTCCCGGCTCTGGACCGCCGAAGCCTCCAGAGACGCCTCCGGCCCCTCCTAGGCAGCGTCAAATCGCGGACCTCCATAAGGAGGCGGGACTTCCGGGAGTGGTGGCGCCAAATTCCGGCCGCGCCGGAAACACCTATTGAGGAAAAAACACTGGGTACACGCCGCTGGAAGCTCCCGGAGAATTTTGTGTTCCACAGTCTCCGCAGAAAAATTGGGCGGGGATTCGTCCGCTCATTGCCAAGTTTTCGAGGCAGCGGAAAACAAGAGTTGGGACATGGACAGCCGCTTGCAGGAGATCCGGGAACGGCAGAAGTTACGGCGACAGCTTCTCGCGCAGCAGGTCTGGGGCGCAGGGAGGGATCGCGAATGCGCGTGCGCGGCCGGCCTGTTACCTCCTCCTCCCTTTTCTGTCTACTTACCGGCCACGGTGCAGTCCTTTCTGGTACCGCGACCTTAATCCCTGCTCCCACCTACCCTCTTGTTCTCAACTCCCGGGGTACCCCGAATATTTTCCTGTTTTACCTCGCGGTCATTGTGGTGC